AAATATAGACAAAACCTGAATCATACAATTTATCAAATATCAACCTGACTATGCTTTTCTGCAACAATCAGTCTATATAGAAAGATATATATTCGTGTATATAATAAAATCAGCAACCAGCCAGCCCCAAGTCCGCAATAAAAACAACAACTAGCGGCAGCGGCAATCGAAATACACTTGAACGTGAGTGAAACAAAATTCATGACCCACTTTATAAAACGCTTTTTCTTTCATCCATGACCCACTTTATTATTTGTAGCAATGACTGTAGCCGAGAGAGGCCCCACTGTGGGAGTGAGATGGGTAGAGATTGTGTCTCTGTCTCTGTCTGTGACTGGGTGAGAAGAGACCTGAACCGAACATATGTTTTATTCACACAATTAGTTTGCTAAAAATGCAGGCTTACCCACACAAAAGCAGCTGAGCAAATGAGGTTGCCCCTGGCGAGGAGGGGGCATGTCAGCTAGACAAGACTAGACTTAGTTGGCTCAGCTTAGACAAGTGCTCTGGGCAGAGACTCAGCCGAGACAGCTCCACAAAAGCTCACACGTTAAGCCACAAATCAACGATTTAAATTGAGGGGATTTAGTGGCACTTTGGGGGTTAAGCAGGGGTGCTAAGAGATATTACTACATTTCATAATTAATTAAGTTCTATAATTAATGTACACCCTTGGGATTCCCTCAAAACTTTAACCGACCTTATGCGAAAGCCTTACCCGCATATATTTTTGATTTTGTCAGAATGATTCAGCTTTTCGGGCCAACTTGTCATTCAAATTCCAAAGAAACTCCAGCAAAACAGCCGCCAAAAACAAACAATAAATATTTACAAATTTGTTCGTAGTTGTGGGGGTAATTTTAAACCCAGATTGATGTCAAGGATACTTTTTAATTTGCGGAAATAAATAAAGCGACTGACTCTGACTCACAAAGGAATGCGGGTAAAATGAATATTTTATTAGACATTCTTGTCCAAAAAATTTCAGTTACTTACAAATGCAAGTCGAGATCTTTTTTTCTTTGCATAATAAACTTTGAATTCCAAATTTCAAGTTGGAAGCGACACGCTGAAAATCACGTAGGCCTATCCCCGAAAACCTAAACAAATTTTAAAGCAAGCTTAAGGGTTTCTTGGCTCCTCCGGCACACGCTGCGTATGAGTGATGTGATGGTTTGTTATGTCAGGTATACAGTTACCCCATAATAATAATCATATTCATCACGTGAATCGTGACTCTATTTGTCCAAAGCTCTACTTCTGGAGATACATATTGCCAAGAAAGCTCTGCTCGACATAATATTCAACATATTAGGTGTAATGAGTAATTTGTTTTAGCCACACTCTGATTCTGTTTTGGGGGCCAAAATGTGATTCATGGAACGGCTTTGGCAAGTGGGTTGTTTGTGCCATTCAAAAGCAAATTAATCATCAAAGAGTAATTCAGGGAATGGCTGTTTCTGACAGACTTTAATTTCAATTCAATGGAATTTTTATTTCACAAGTCGGTGATATTATTGAAGCTTAAAGTAGGCAGTGATTAAGAGGATTAGTATGACCATTAATTTAGTTTATCTTTAACTCAGAGGAAGGTATTCATATCAAGCCAGTCTCTTGGCAATTATTTTCTTTTTTCCTATAAATACTCTCGAATCTTCCCTTAGCTCGTGACGATAAATTGCGAAAATAGCCATACAGAGAAGCTTGCGAGATTGAAAGCCCAAGCGGCAAAGTGCAAATTGATAAGTCCAACAAAAAAAAAAATATAAGAAAAATAACAAAGCCAGTGGCAATAGCGTAAATAAGTCAACTGACTTGCTGCATTAATTGTAATTTAATTAAATTCGCTGCCTCTACGAGAGCTCTGCGATGGCTCTTCCATGGTTGCCTTAATTAAGCGCGTCAATCATACGCCCTGTGTGACGAGAGTGGAGCCGAATAGAGAATAGGACCAGACTGCCGAGGATGATTATGATCATGGTGGGCTGCCACATTTAAGTGTCGCCCTGTCAAAATAGCCAACAACAAGAACCAGAAGCAGCAGCAAAAAGAATTCGCACAATTATTGCGCTTGTCAGTGAAAAGAGAACTGGGAGAAGAGAGAATGGGGGACCACGGAAGAGAAAGAGAAAAAATAAGCGAACGTCACTCATTTTTGCGCCCATTGCAGTCTCATTTTGGCCAACAGCCCAGTGCAATAAAAGGCGCACTTTAAGTAACTTTAATGGTTTGTTACAAAAACAAATGCCCGTTTTTATACCCTTGCAGAGGGTATTATCCTATTAGGCATATTTTTTTTTAGATAAGGATCACCTCCTGAGTTTATTGGGGAAGATATAGCCATCCCTGCGGGCCCTATAGGGGAAAACCCCATTTTCAAGGGATCCCATCCCGAAAAATGGACAAAAAATCTAAAAAATATTTTGTCTCAGGATTTTGATGCAGAATGCTGGAGAATCGGTCCAGAAATCGTTTAAGGCATTCCGCTTGAGAATCGAATGAGAATTAGGGAAGATATAGCCATCCCGGTGGACTCTATAGGGGAAAACCCCATTTTAAAGGGATCCCATCACGAAAAATGGACAAAAAATCTAAAAAATATTTTGTCTCAGGATTTTGATGCAGAATGGTGGAGAATCGATTCCGAAATCCTTTAAGGTATTCCGCTTGAGAATCGGATGAGAATTAGGGAAGATACAGCCATCCCGGTGGACTCTATAGAGGAAAACCCCATTTTCAAGGGATCCCATCACGAAAAATTGACAAAAAATCTAAAAAATATTTTGTCTCAGGATTTTGATGCAGAATGCTGGAGAATCGGTCCAGAAATCGTTTAAGGCATTCCGCTTGAGAATCGGATGAGAATTAGGGAAGATACAGCCATCCCGGTGGACTCTATAGGGGAAAACCCCATTTTCAAGGGGTCCCATCACGAAAAATGGACAAAAAATCTAAAAAATATGTTGTCTCAGGATTTTGATGCAGAATGCTGGAGAATCGGTCCAGAAATCGTTTAAGGCATTCCGCTTGAGAATCGGATGAGAATTAGGGAAGATACAGCCATCCCGGTGGACTCTATAGGGGAAAACCCCATTTTCAAGGGGTCCCATCACGAAAAATGGACAAAAAATCTAAAAAATATTTTTTCTCAGGATTTTGATGCAGAATGGTGGAGAATCGGCCCAGAAATCGTTTAAGGTATTCCGCTTGAGAATCGGATGAGAATTGGGGAAGATATAGCCATCACCGTGGACCCTATAGGGGAAAACCCCATTTTCAAGGGGTCCCATCACAAAAATGGACAAAAAATCTAAAAAATATTTTGTCTCTGGATTTTGATGCAGAATGGTAGAGAATCGGTCCAGAAATCGTTTAAGGTACTCCGCTTGAGAATCGGATGAGAATTAGGGAAGATACAGCCATCCCGGTGGACTCTATAGAGGAAAACCCCATTTTCAAGGGATCCCATCACGAAAAATGGACAAAAAATCTAAAAAATATTTTGTCTCAGGATTTTGATGCAGAATGGTGGAGAATCGATCCAGAAATCGTTTTAGGTATTCCGGTTGAGAATCGGATGAGAATTGGGGAAGATATAGCCATCACTGTGGGCCTTATAGGTGAAAACGGCTCCGCCCGAAGGCAGCTTTACTTTCTTGTTAAGAAAACAAATATTTATGTTGATGAAAAATCAAAAATTCTTAAAAATTGTACGGCAGAGTAATCGATGCCTCGGTTTTAAATAAAAACCATGCCCTCCCTCTTGGTTTTTGTGGCCTTTCCTCCTCTGGCTTGATTCCATCTCCCTATCATGTCCAGTTGCCTGTAATTATTTCTTCTTTTTTTTGTTCAGTTCCCAGTTACCTATCCCCCAATCTCTGGGGTCGTCTTCATTATGCATATAATGTAATTAAAAAAAAAAGGGAAAAAGAATAAGAAGCAGTTGCCACTCCGAGGGTGGTCCTCGAGAGCTCTGGGAGCTCCTCCTCCGTTTCACGCTCAACTGGTTAAATGAACTCCGCGAATGCGAAATGCAAAATTATAGTTTTAATGCAAAACGAATTGAAGAACTGGGTTTATTCTTTTGATTTAAATTTCCGTTACCTGCGCAAAAGTCACTCTCGAGTGTCACTCAAAATGCCAAAAATAAAATTTATTCCGCACTTTAAGCAAATAAAGTAAACAATTAATCACGTAACCAAATGAAAACTGACATGAAAGCGACCCAAATGAAGGTGAAGCGAAGGATGGAGGGGAGACAACAGCAAGAGTAATGGCCATGATGACCACTTGAAGTCCGGGGTTCTAAACCGGCTTCTCGGGGATCCATGGCAGTCAAAAGCTGACAACATTAATTTGACTCACGTTGCGGTGGCAACCCGAGGCGATGCTCTGGGTCACCAGCTTCCCAGAAATACTTGTTAAAATCCCGGCTAACAAATGATTAAGTTTGTGCGGAAAACAAGAGCCGAAATATGTGCGTATCCTTTGAAGTGCCACGGCTGCCACAGGATAACAAAATGAAGATGTCACATTCCGCTGGAGGAATTTCAGAAGGAATGCGTGTGGTGGAAATAGTTTAGATTTCCGAAAGAAAATCTCCGAAATAATAAATACATTTGTAACCTTTTGTAGAGATACTTAGCCACTCGACAGTCGAAATTAACCACAAAAACAGCTTTTATTGTCGCTCCTACTGGGGTTCTTGAAATGCTAATTAATTAGACAATAAAGTGTAATCAAGGCAGTACATTAGCCACAGGCCCAGGCTGGCAATCAAATGTATAGAAAATACAAAGAACTCTGGGAATTTGGCATTTTGATAAGCAAACGAGGTTGAACCACAAAGCCCAAAAAAAAACAAGGCTAGGGGCTAGTATGCCTTAGTTAAGATATATGAACTTTTTTTTAGAAATTAAACATGTTCTAGAAGGAAATAAAACCATATACCATATATTATGAGGAATATTTTTAATATTTTTAATTTTTAATATTTTCAGGCTTAGCCCAAGTGACTTACCAGATCATTGGGCCTCAGGTACAGCAAATCCAGCGACCTCAAACAGCAGCAGCATCAATAATTCCATTGGTGGCAACAACAAGTACAGCAACAGCAGCAGCAACATTTCGGTCTGCAACCTGCCACGATCATCACCGGCCGCTGCCACAGCAGCCGTTACAATCTCTTCGGCCGCGGGCGGCATTGGTGGCAACTTGCTGAGCGGATTGCATCGCGGACTGGCACTCGGCACGCATCCATTGCAGCGCGCGACGGCAGCCAGTGGAGGCGGAGCTGGTGCTGGGGGCGTGGCAGGAGCCACCACAGCAGCGGCGCTTACACTCCAGCAGCAGCAGCAACAGCAACAACACCAGCAACAGCAACAACAATTGGCCTACCAGCAACATCAGCAGCAGCAACAGCAGCAACACCTCAACTCGCACCATTCTATCCAAAATAAGGCAGCGGCTAGTGCCGCGGCACATCCGGCAAACATTGCAGCAGCGCTGCAGCGATCGGCCGCCATTATGAATGCGGTGGCATCGCCGATCTCAGCCAGCTCTGCGAACTCAGCGACGCCCGGCCGGAAGATACGACGCAAGACGGATTCAAAGGTCAATCTGGTGAGTTTTTAATTTTGAAGGGGAAGGCCCGCCAGATAGACTTTCTCTTAACTAAGACTAGTTTAATTATTAATTTTAACTATTTTATTTTTAGCCACAATCTCAAATCAACAAGTGCAACAATGAGAAGCGGCGTCGCGAGGCGGAAAATGGCTATATCGAGCAGCTGTCGGAGATATTAACGCTGAACAAGCGTGGCGATATGACCTCAACGAAACCGGACAAGGCGGCTATACTAAACCAAGTAGTTCGAACGGTAAGACACCAGTCATCTTTAGTTAATTACCCACCCAGACCCCCCATCAAACGAAACTCATAAACCCCAATCTTGAAAGCAATACAAGTTGTTTTAACACCCAGGGAATGGACTTGACCAGTCGATTCCAGTGGCCGCCTGCCCGGAATACCAAATGATCAATTACAACCCGAAACCATTGGCTTGAGAAATTCCCCAATGTAATTTCCATGCAGCTTCTAGGGTCGAGCCAACAAAAAAAAAACGCGTTCCAATTAAAAAGCAATTAAAAGCTTAGCCAGAAAGAAGCTTACCAGTACTACCAGCCAAGAGGTGCAAAAATGCTGGCGGAACATGGCCGAAAATGAAGAGTTGGCTGACGTCATTTTTTTTTTGCCACATCGCATCACAATTTAATTAATATTTTTATTTAATTTACATAAATTTACTTATGTTTCAATCGACCCGACCCGACCTGGCCAGCGGCTTTATGTTGTTTTAGGTATTTCTTTTATTGGTTTCAGGTAGCCTAAGCACTTTATTATGCAAATTATTTTTGAGCCAAGCGCCACGCTTTGCTGAACATCCAAAAAAAACCACAAATGGATTTTTAAATGAAATACGCCGCAGAGAGAGAGCCCCAACACCGAAATACAAAATACATAATTTTATTTTGTAATACAAGTACAGGGGGAAATGCAATTAAAGGGTACAACAAGCTCATACATCAGTAAATAAATTCAATTAAACGCTCTGGTGTCATGTTGGCTTTTCCCTTAATGAGAGTCCTTCGTTGGGTTATCCTGCCACTAATCCAATTGATGGACAGGGACTTAATCTAGTTATTGTGTTGGAAAAAAAGTAAAATTTAATTATTTGATTAAAAAAAATAATATTCCTCTTTGGAAAGGCCCCGGCGAGATTCGAACTCACGATCTCCTGTTTACTAGACAGGCGCTTTAACCAACTAAGCCACGGCGCCACTTGTTAGCGGTACTCTCGACTGCTCTACTCATGGGCCGGCCATCACTCACCTGTTATCGGTGATAGGGTTCGAACCGAGTGCGAGTGTTTTTGGTTTATTTTTAGAACTGTCTTGATTAAAAATATGGCTACAAAAGTATTTCAAATCTTAAAATAGATAAAGTGCTTATTTTTAAATAGAACTACATATTTAGAAACCAATTAAAAAAAGGAAAGCATGGCATGTCAGTTAAAATTCTTCTTTTAACAGGAATATATCAGTGGGTTTCTACCGTCTTAATTAATTTAATTTCGAGCTTTATACCCCTCCTCTGATGGTGTTGACAAACCCCCTTTTTTTCGCCCAGGCACAGCTGCTGTCTGGCATATCGTTTACCTGATGTGATCATTTTGGAGGAAATCTATAAGGCCAGAGCCCGCCAAAAATGAGAGACAGGACTATCTGGAGGGTCAGGGTCTGTAGGGGGCTGGCTGGCTGGGAGATGAGATAAAGCCAGACACGTTTTCAACATTTTCGACACTGCACGCGCTGCTCTTTGTGTGTGTTTATTGTTGTTGTAGCAGCTACCGTTGGCTGCCTTTGTTGTTGTGTGTTTACTTTATCATTTGACTGATATTTTTTTTCGGAGTGCCTTCACCCCAATATTCGTGTGAAACAACTTTTCCTGGTCACACACACAAACACACAGACATACATTCGAGAGATTCCTTCCAAAAAGCTTGCTCTCTTTCTGAGATCAACGAACTGAATGGCTTTCTCAAATGCTTTTGCTTTTGGGGCGATGACGTCGCACCTCGTCGCCATTTCACATAGTTGCGATTGCGTTTCATTCTTTATTGTTGTTTCACTCGCTCCCACACACACCCACACATACACTAAGACAGGCTGCATGGCTCCCCCCACAAGGTGCACGCTGTGTGTGATAACGCACGCACACACTCTCATCCAGCCGGTAAACAAAACTGGAGAAGAGAGCAAAGAGAGTGCGCCCGCCATTGCCATTGAGAGATAGCGAGAGAGCGCGAAGCTCTGGCGGTATTCTTGTTGCTGTTGTTGGTCTTTGTTGTTGCTTGATTTTTTTGTTGTTTATTTTTTGTATTTTTTATTTTTTTGCGAACAACAATTGCATTAAAAAAATGTGTGCTTAGTATTTCGGCAACTTTGTGACTGAGCGAACGTTCTGTGTTCTGTTTTCCGTTTTTCTGTGATTTTTTGTGATTTTTGTGAGTAATTCCTTGATGAGCTTGGCACCTAGTTGAGTCAGATTCTAGTCTAGGCCTGGCCAATACCCTAAAAACCAAAATAAATAAATAAATAATAGTATAGGAGGCGGCAGCAAACCAAAACAATGTGAAATGCCATTGACATTTGTCCACGCGAAGTTGAAGTTGACTGACCTTGAAGCCAGCCCCCTCTCCGCCCTCTCATATGTGCGAGAGAGTGAGAGTGGGAGCAGTGGGTGGTTGGGCTAGAAACTCATAGGATAATGGAATAACTAATAATATAAAAATAATTTACGCATGTGTTTGTTTTGGTTTTTTTTTTGTCACGAATGTCAATGACTTTTTTTTTGGGAAACGACTCAAACGAGCGCGCCAATTTTTTTTTTGCGTGGCGGAGTAAAAATAATACAAACACACATAGAACACCAACACACACACACTCACACACACATACATACAGTCAGCGTGTGTGATGAAATGCGGTTTATTGCACTCCCCATTGTGTCAATTGTGTTTATTTTTTATTACACTCCCAGCCTTATTCTGGGACTTGCCCCTCCCCCCTATCACTGACCAACAAAGTGTGCCGATCTTCGTGCTATAATAATAATTATTATTACTGTCGCCGCTGTCGCAGTGTGTCATAATCTGCATCCAGAGTTCTGTCCAGACGCTTCCGCATCATCACCGAAGTGGTCACGATATGAATGGAAGTTTCATGATCAGCTCCGATCTCCGATAAAGACGATGAGTGGCTATAAGGCTGGTCACGTAGAGATCGGAGGAGAGGTGACACATTAAGATCAAGATATATATTCATAATGGAATCTTAAATGTGCCATAAAGAAACCTCAAAGGATGCAGTGTCTGGCTTTCAAAAAGTGTAGCATACTTTAGTGGTTTAAGCTTCCACTACAATCCCTGGAACCTATTCTTCATCTTAACCCTTAACTGTACTTTACTACGAACTTTGTATACCCTTTCTTTTTATTAAAAACTTCTTTGATTTATTTTCCAGTACCGTGAGATCTGTGACAAGGGCCAAAATCGTGATATATCCTCCACGTCGACTAACAACAACTCCACGACAACGACCAACAACAACAATACGAATAGCAACAATAACAATAATAACAACAACAACAACACCAGCAAACCACAAGCAACCTCAACACGCTGCACCCGCTGCGCCACTGACAACTGTTCAATCCATCCGGTGCAACAGGGTGAGGTCTCCTCCACGGAGCCACCGCATCCGGAACCATCGCTACTCCTCGGCCAAGTGCCCGAGATATCGGCATACTTTGAGGCACTCGAGCACTATATCAGTGGCGTGGGTTGGGTCCTGTTGCAGGTGAACGCCAACGGCATCATTGAGTCCTGCACCCAGAACATCCGCGAGCTGATCGGCTATGAGAAGCAGGAGCTCTACCACCAGCCGCTCTACATGTACCTCTATCACGGGGATCACGCCAAGCTAGAGCCGATCATCAACAATATGTACAGCAATCCAAACGGTGGCGGGAGCAGTTCCAACAACAACAGCAACTCGGGTCCGGGCGGCAGTAGTGGAGTAGGAGGTGGCGGTCCCACGGGCTGGGGTGATCTCGATGAGCTGAACAACGGCAATGCGTCTCAACACTCGGCGGGCTCAAATTCCAGCTCCGGCGGAGGTGCCGGAGGAGGCGGTGGAGGTGGTGGCGGATCGGGGGGCGGCAAGTCGAAGCGCAGCATTTCCACCAAGGTGCGCATGCTAGTCAAGGACACGCGAACGGCCACCCAGACGTCGTCGAACTGCGAGCCAGGTCTGGAGCAGAAGCCACTGCGCCAGTCCGGCCAGCAGGACAAGTACGAGGAGGTGGTCCTCATAGCAGCTCCTGTCAAAGGTGAGTCTACATTTTGGCTATTTTATTATCCTTTCTGACCTCTCCTCTCCTGTAGACGATGCGGATGCCAGCAGCTCTGTGCTGTGCCTGATTACCCGACCCGAGGATGAGTCGCCGCTGGAGATCAACATGCAACAGCACGTGCAGCAGCAGCCGATCGAGCAGATGACCTTCAAGCTGGACATTCACGGCAAAATACTCAGCCTCGATCCGACGGCTCTGCGGGAGCCGTTCAAGCAGCACCTCCAGACGTGGGTGGGTCGCCTGTGGCAGGATCTCTGCCATCCGCACGACCTGTCCACCCTGAAGTCGCATCTCCGTGACATCCAGGACTCGGCCAGCGCCCATTCCCCCGGCTCGGGGGGAACGAGACCCTCGGCCCTGCACATACCCAATGTGGTGTCGCGTCCGTTCCGGCTGCGACTGGGAGCGCCCGACGTCTATGTGCATGTGAAGGCCAACTCGAGACTGTTCCTCAACCAGACGCCCGGCGAGGAGGACTTCATCATGTCCGTGCAGACGCTGCTGAACTCCGAGAACGACATGAACAGCAACAACACGGGCTCGGGAGGAGCAGGCGGTGGCCTGGGGTTGGGTCAACTGTGCGCCATGTCGCCGGGTCCCTCGCTGGCCAGCTCCCTGCTGAGCAGCCTGTCAATGGACGGACTGCACGGGGGCGCGGGATCTGGCTCTGGCTCCGGGTCCTCCTCCTCGCCGGCCTCCGGCATGCTACCCACCCATCTGCTGGGCGGACTCGTGGGCGGCGGCCAGCAAGGAGGCGGCGGCAACAGCACGCAGACCACGAGTGTGGGCGGACCCCTGATGAGCAGCGCGATCATCAACGGCAGCGGGCTGCAGCAGCAACAGCAGCAGCAGCGGTCGGGCGCCAGCTCCTCGGCCAGTTCGTCGGCGAATGCGTTGGTGAACGCGTTTACGGCGTCGCCGGCTCCCGGGGAGCACGGCTTCTTCGGGAGCGACACCTTCGAATTCGATATTGCAGCACATTCCTCATTCGACATGGATCCCAGCGGCGGCGTGGGAGCCTGGACGGATTCGCGGCCCAACTCGCGGGCCTCGGTGGCCACACCGGTCAGCACACCGCGTCCGCCCTCCGGACACGGCTTCAGTCCGGCCGTGTGCGCCTCCCCGGCCACGCCCTACCAGCTCTCCTCGCACTCCGCCGCCAGCCTGCCGTCGCCCCAGTCGAATGCCAGCGCCGGCGGTGGCAACTACGGCTTCAACTTCCAATCCTTTGAGGCGGGCGATGTGAAGCCGGAGAAGGATGTCCAACAACAACAACAGCAGCAGCAACAACAACAGCAGATGCAGCAGGGCAACAACAACGGTAGCGGCAACAGCAACAACACCTTGATGGGTGGTGGGCTGCCAAATGGAGTGGGTGGCTTGTTGATGTCGCAGCAACAACAACAACAGCAGCAGACGCCACCCCAGCAGCAGCAACAGGAGTCCTCGGAGCGGTTGCGCCACCTGCTGACCAAGTCACAAAGCATGGGCGGACTCGGAGGACTGAGCGACGACGAGAAGGTGAGTCGGAGGGATACTTTTTCAAGGATTTGGGTTAATCTTAAGATTCGTTGCAGTACTTCAAGCCGGAGGGCAGTGATGATGAGAAGCTGGGCGGCGGAAGCTTCAAGATGGGCGGCCAGTCGGGCGGAATGGGCATGTTCGGGCCGATGGGCTCAATGGGACGCGGTGGACCGAACTCCTCCCTGCTCCACAAGGCCGGCAACTCCCAGAACCCTATGCTGCTCAAGGTAAGTCATTCATCATCCATCCATGAGAGGATTTATTTCTAAAATTCTTAATATTTCAAGCAGCTGCTGAACGAAAAGACGGAGGACGAAGATGGCAACGGATCTGGTGGCGGTCCTGGCTCCATGAACAACTCCCGGCAGAGCGAACTGATGCGCCAGCTGAAGAACCCTGATGGCGGCAGTCACGGGATGCACAGACCCAATGCCAGCGGGAACATGAGCAACGAGGATCTTAAGGCCATGCTGAAGATCCAGAGCGATCCGCTGAGCCGCAAAAGATCGCTCAACGAGCCCGACGACGACATCTCGGCCAAGCGGTCGGAGGACAAGCCGAGCAAGCTCTGCACCCAAAACAAAATGCTGGCCAAGTTGCTGCAGAATCCGCCAAAGTTACCCAAAGCCCCCCCTCCCGAGCAGCCGCTGCAGGTGAAGACGCTGCCGGACATAACCAGCTCCACGGTGAGCAGTACGCTGGCCGCTCCCGGCAACCTGATCAGTGCCGGCAGTACTGGACCCAAGGCGGCCGCCAATCGCAACCGCAAGCAGCAACAGCAACAACAACAACAGCAGCAACAGCAACACAATGCCAGCAATCCTGCACAGCAGCAGCAGCAGCCAAACGATGTCTACCTCAGCCAGCAACAGCAGCAGCTCCAGCCGCCGCAGCTGGCCTTCCAACAGCAGCAGCAGCAGCTGGCGACCACAGCAACTACCTCAATTACCACAGCGGCCTCCACTTCATCGGCTGCGGCGGCTGCAGCGGCGGCAGCAGCGGTCTTTCCGGGCGACGGCGACTCGGAGTTGTCCAAGCTGTTGGACAGCGTCATGGACTATTATACGGATGACACGCCCATCGTGACCAATGCACCCTCGGCTGCCTCGGCCATCAGCGACATCCAGAAGTCGCTAATGGATGTGGAGTCGGCTGCCTTTGGCAACGATCCGAACCAGCACCTCATGATGACCCAGCAGCAGCAACAGCAGCAACAACAACAGCAGCAGCTGCTGGCCATGCAGGTTGCCCAGCAACAGCAGCAGCGGCAGCAGCAGCAGCAGCAGCATCTCCAGCAACCGCCCGCCTATCCGGGCATGATGGGCATGCACCAGCAGCAGCAGCAGCAACAACAGAACCAGCAGCACATCATGCAGCGCCTGGAGGCGATGCGCAACCAGGGCTTCCAGCGACCGCCACCGATGTATCCGGCACGTGGCCGCGGGCCCATGAATGCGGTGGCCACTCCGGGCGGGGTAGTGCTTCCCGCCCAGCAGCAGTTGCGCAACATGCGGCAGCAGCAGCAGCTGGCGGCAGCCCAGCAGAAGGAGCGTCTGCTGCAGCAGCAACAGAAGCAGCAGCTACTCGTCCCAGAGAATGCCAGTAAGTAGTCATTTTTATAAGAAAGGTGTTCCAATATAACTATATATCTTTCCAGCTGGGATCAATGCGGGCCTCAACAACATCAACTCGCTGATGAACACGACGGTGGCCCCGAACGTGACCCTGTCGCGCACCAACCTGCCCTCGGACGCCCAGCTCAGCCCGAACTTTGCTCAGGCGCTGATACAGCAGCAGCTCAGTCCTGGCCTCAGCACACCCTACAGTCCGCAGCCCAATCAAGGTTAGGATTCCCTGACCTTCAGAGATCTTCGGAGAGCTTTCTTAACTTCTTTGATTTATTGCAGGCTATGCCCCTCAGTTCCCGCAGCCCGGTCAGCGTCTTTCGCCGCAGCAGCAGCAGCAGCTCAACCAACAACAGCAACAGCAGCAGCAGCAGAACAACGCCCAGCAGCAGCAGATGGCCTACCAGCAACAGCAGCAACAGGTGGGTGACGGTGGACGCTCCAACACGCCGTTCGGATCCAACTCAGGGATGCAGTCCCCGGGAATGCAGAACAGTCCCCAGCAGTGGGGCGGCGGCGGTGGAGGAGGCGGTGGCGGTGGACCAGGTGGCCCGTTGCCGGCCGGCAATGCGGGCAGGACGTTGCAGCAGCACAACCCCATGCTTATAGCCCAACTGCAGGTGAGTGACCGAGAACTTGATCTTCTAAGAAGACACACAACTAACTCCGTTCCTTGACGTCCTGGCTGCAGGGCGTGAGTCCGTATAATGCGCGTCAATACCAACAGAACCAGAGACGCGGCCTGAACTCACCGGGAGCTGTCGGACCAGGTGGTAATCCAGCGGCAGCGGCAGCGGCGGCACTGCAGCGCCAGAACTCGTTCCAGGGTCAGGGCGGTGGCGGGTCCACGACGCCCGACGGCTCGGGTGTGGGCTTCGGTGGACCGCAGTCGCCCTACGGCGGCAACGTCAACGTGTTCCAGCAGCAGCAGTTGCAGCGACTGCAACGCCAGGGCAGCGTCCCGCAGGCCACGCAACACCTGCCAGGTAAGAGATGGGAATGGGAAGCACTTTGGAGGCAAGAAGCCAACTAGGAATGTTGTAGGAGCCATAAAAAGGGAGTAATAGATTAGATTAGATCTCTGATATCTATCTCGTTAAGCGAGTGCCCCCTTAATCCATTTACTAAATACATAGACAGCTTTACACACACAAAACCACACTGACACACATGCCACACACACACACGATACTCGATAATCGATACCCTATAATCTTAATTAGTTTTAAATCGAAGCCAAAAGAGAAACAAATCCAAAACCAAAACCAAAAACCGCTTAACCAAAACAGGCTCGCCACGCTTTGGCTCCTCACCAGTTGGCAACAACAATCCCGATAGCTCAGCCGCCGCCGGCAACCAGCAGCAGCAGCAACAACAGCAACAGCAGCAACAACAACAGCAACAACATCAGCAGCAGCAACAGTTGATGAACGGGCTGAGCATGTCGCCACATCCGCATCCCCATCCGGCGATGATGGGCGTGGGCGGTATGGGCAGTGGCGGCGGCAATGGCATCATTGGCCTGGGCGGCGGCGGGGGCGCCAATTACGGCAATCCCCTGGGCGGCTACGGGCAGTCGCAGCAGCAGCCAAATGATTTCTATGGTCGGGCGCAGACCGGTAAGCCCGAGTGCTCTTCTCTCAAATCTCAAATCTCAACCACCACCTCAAACTATCATTACTACTCTCACGCGATCGCTGTATAAATCACACAAATGCCTTCAAAATCTCTGTACATAAATATATATAGTATACCTATGGCTATATACATCCATTGCCACGCATCGTAAAGCAACTCGAAATTTGGGAGCATCCTTTAAGAACAAAAAACACAGACATCTCGACACCTCCTAACCCACACATATGCGTGTATATCTTTGTATAACTGTACAATCATTGTAAATAACCAAAAAAAAAAAAAAAACCCATCAAGAAAAGTCGGCTGAGCTGTAAATAATACCTATATATACATAGTTCCAGGCGGAGCACCCAATTAACCTAGTACTTCCCCCCTAGACTTAAGAAGACAAACTCCCTAGAGAAACCTCTAGAGAAAACCTACTAAAGGGAGAGCTAGAAAATTATAAAATGTACATTATAAATTGGTCCTTTAGGTTCTTATTAAGTTTATTGAAGTACACCCCACCCCACCCCCATCCGATCCCGATCTTGTGTCTGCCCCGACCTTTGTGTTTCATGTTGTATTTTGTTGTCTATATGTTTTGTGTTTATTTTGTGTCTTACGTCCTAGATTTGAGCCAAAACCCATGTGACTAAACCATATTCTATGTAGATCCTCCTTCTAAATGTCCTTTTACTCAATGCCCTACCTCTGACTCTTTCAGCTGGAAATGGCGGTGGCGGCGGCGTAGCCGGTGGTTCGGATTTCGTCAAGCAGGAGCTCCGGGCGGTGGTCAGCGTGAGGAAGGCGGCAGCCGCTGGAGGCGCCAACGCCGGTGGGAATGTGGCGCAGCGCGGCCAGACGCCCCAGAGTCCACTGCAGCAGGGACCAGTGAGTGGAGGAGGTGGCGGAGGAGTTGTGGGCGGGGCCAATAGTACAAACGCCATGGGCAATGTAACGCCCACGGGCAGCGGCAATGTCAGTAACAACTCCATGCTCAACACACCGCCAGATCCAACAATAGGCTTTAGCTTCGAGACGCGTAAGTATCTTTTTTTTTATTAAAAAATTAAATTTAAATATATATTTTTAATTATATTCCACAGCGGACTTCTTCACCAGCAGTGCTACGAGGTGACCCTAAGGTGGGTAGGCCTAGGACCCAAGGATCAGGAACAACCAAAACTCTACTTGCGCACGCATTTATGGCTCTAGATATCGCAGGATAATAGGAAATCGTAGGACGAAAAGCCGAAGCATGTATATCTAATTTAAAATATTAGCAGCACTATTACAACCACAAGAAAAACAAAACAAATAAAAAATATATATATATTTATTTTATAATACTAGCAAATATTAATTGTAAAGAAAAATGGGAACCTCGTCTGAAAGAAATTGCAAAAAAAAACCATTTAATTACCAGACATACGCTATAGTTAAATATTTTCAAAAACCGATAAAGCTGAAGAAAAAAAAAAGGATAAAAGAAATGCATATTTATTACGTTTAAATATAAAGCCTAATTCTAAGAGCTATATATACAAAAAAAACAAGAAGAAAAAACATAAATAATTATGTGGTTAAGTGATGAGTGTTTCGAGGTGTTGTTGAATTGATGATATATATATATGTATATTTAAAAAAAAGAATAACATAATACAATTTGTAAACCATTGCAGAGGCGTTGACAAACGGCTGCAATTTGCTAGGCTTTAGATATAATGACAAGCGATTAAATATTGTATACATATTTGAATGCGAGACATGAAACATGTAACACACAAAAACACACATGTATATTTAAAATTAGTGTTGAATTTGTTTTCAGTGTGATAATTTGTTAAATTTTATATACTAAATGTTGCTAATTTGTTGCTGCAAAGGCACGAGGACCTCGACCCCAAAGGCTTTGCTTTATCTTGGAACATTTCTTGTTTGTTTATTTCACAATTTTTACCAAAACAGACACTAAACAAAATAATCCCCCCCCCCCTATAATTGTACATATTTTTCACTATATCATTTCGCTAAGTTGCGCCCGTCTTAAAATGTAATTCATAATTTAGTTAATGCTCGTTTAAATATATACTGTAATTAATCTTAAATACATTTATATCAAAGCGAGAAAGCAAAGCGCGCAAAGCAAAGTCGTTGGCGTTGCAATTTCATGTGAAGGCTATTTTACAGGTTTTGTTTAAACTAATTTGTAATCTTATCCATTTTATATTAACTATTATATATATACTAAATCTAATACATCCGATAATATGTATGTATAATTGCTAAAGCAAAGCAAAACGTTTCACGTTTTATATTATGTAATTTTTTATTGATTTTTGATTTTGTTTAAATCTTTTAAGTCTATTAAGTTGGGTTCAATCGTTATAAATATATTATTTTAAAGAGGAAACAATACAAATGCTATACAAATATTATTGAAATAAATTTAGTTTCTATTTTTATGAAAATACTGTTTAAACCGCAAAGCCCTAAATAAAAATTTACATACAATATATTTAAACATTTCTATTTATTTATTTCTATCTTTGGTTTATTTAACAAATTATTATGCTGAAAATACAAAATAACAACGACTAAAAAAAGAAAAGAATAAAGGATTATATAATGACAAAAAAATGGCGATATTAACACTTGGGAAAATAGAAATACCTCTCGTTAAGTTCAAAAGAAAATATGATAAAATACAAATTTATAAGAAAATTGAACATAAATGGATTCTAGTAAGATGAGGTGTAAATACATATATAATTAAATTAAATTATTTTAAAGCTGCTAGCTGAATCACAATTGCCACTCATAACATATAAATAGCTTAGGATTGGGTTCTTCATTAAGAGGCTACATTTAATGCAATTAAATTCAAGTTTAAAAGGCAAAAGATAAAAAATAGTTACTCCCCTTAGTTTTTTTTTATGATAAGGATACGGATAAAACCTCGAACCAGGAAAGTTTATGAATAACAATGAATATACACAAGTATACTGCATTTAGCATTATATATATACACCTATAAATAGTTTTAAATGCAAGTTATTCATATATATATATATAGTATACCTATACCTAAATATATATATATTTATGTGGGATAAGGATATAGCAAATTTCACACACACAGCAACACAAAAAGTACATATAAAGTGCATTAATGAATTTAAGCATTTAATGAAATTATTTAATTTGTAAGCATAACGAAATATATTGACTTATTTCGACTATATTTAAAATAAACAACAAATATTTACAACAGGTATAAATTCATGAATTAAGAAAGTAATCTAACACTCTAAGCGCTAACTAACTTGGCAACTTTGGCAACAAATATTTACGTAAAAAAAAAAAGGAAGGTGGACTTCGATTTTATATAGTGCATATAACATTTGGTAAGCTTTTCTCTTATCAGGCACACTTAATCGATCGAGTTACGCATACATTTTTGTATATATCAAATATATAAGATTTTAGTAATTAGTTTAAACCAGTTTCAAGTGCGCTCGTTTTGAGCTTTGGATATGGAATTCGAAAAGGTAGCTTGTTTTTTACCCATTTTTACCAAATTGGTTTCGCCATTGAAAACACCTTAAAAATATATTAGTTTTTCGGGTAGATCTGAGTAGCGGGTGTCCTGAGAGTTTGTATTGTACATACATCATTACAGAATGGAATTTATTTGATTTTTTATGCAACCTAGTACCATAAAATTTGTACCAAATCACTCACTGACGATTTAAGATTATAGCCGGATGATCGAAACGAGTATAACAAAACAAATAATGCAACGCCCTGTACCCGTGCATAATGCCTACAAAGATTTGTTAAAAATTAATATTACAAAAAATATAAAAATACTATTTACTAAAAATACAAAAAAAAAAAGATGCCCTGAACCGCAATGAGTAGTGCCCAAACATACGATAACGGAATACAAAACAAATATATTAACTAGCATTTAAAAAGTTATAACGAATTCTAAAAAGAACAGCCTCAAAAAAATAGTTGTAAACGAAAAATAGCAAAAAAAAAAAATAGCACAATTTTGTATTTAAAAATAATGAGTAGAAATTTGTACGAACACCAAGTAAATCCACAACAGATTAACAGACCGAGAGCAATATAAAATATTTCAAGAGTCATGCAGAATCTCACACAGAATATGGAATACACTATAACTACTCAATATTCGTATTATTTAGTTTGCACTCTGTACAGGCAACGGGAGAAAATGGCGAGAACCGGAAGCGGAAACCAGTGTTGGACAGGGTTGGAGGTATTGTTGATTGGCTGTGTTAAAAAACAAAAATGGAAACAAAAGTTAAAAGACCGAAAAACGTACGACGAAATAAAGCCCATAATTATGAATTGAAAAGAATTTTCAAATAGCGGGAGGATTAGTGGAGAGGTTAGAGTAGTTAGATGCGTTCAGGGAACGTTTATAGGAATCGGATATGATGGATGAAAGTTAGAGGTTAGGTTAGAGTCGCCGGATAAGGGTTTTGGATAGTTTTTCGCAGCTATAAACTTCAGTTCAAATTCAAATAATATCATTTAACGCTTGGAGCTATTATACATATTCATACCTTATTATAATTATTATTATTGATGAAAATGTTTTGGAGGGAAGACTGTACTGAAAGTGAACTACAAATTGTTTAATCTTTATTGTGAGAGTCTCGATTAGATTGTTCTTGTTTATTGCAAGTTTTTGGCTTGATTGAAATATTTAATTAACAGCTACAAAAAGAAGAGTATAAAACCTAATCCCAGAGACAGATTTTTGCCAGAAACCTAAATACAGCCCCAATGATTGTTATTAATCTGAGTGTTATGTTGTTGTCACCTGTCACTGTTCGTTCACTGTCACCTCTCACTGTTTACGTGTATTGTCCTTATGTGTTGTCCTTGTGAGTAGCTCGGTAAATGGAAGAGTATCTTAAGTCTATATATAAATGTACCTTTTTGCTATGTACTGTATTTTCTGTAACTATATATATATACGCCACACAATCACACAAAAACTTGCAAGTTATTGCATTTCACATTATATAAAGGGGAAAAACCAAAAAAAGAAAATAAAAATTGCACTCTACTAGACACACTAATTAACACTAATTTTTAAATTCAAAACTCTGTATATGTGTAAATGTAACTTTTGTCTAAGGATTCAAAAATAATGAAATGAAATAATGAAGTTTCAATTGATTTTAAATTTAAAAAAACGACAAAAAATAAAACACAAAAAATTACTTTAGTTTAACTAAGTACGAAATACATACAACACACATGCAAGACACAATAGCAAAATGTTTAAAGAATTAAATTTAAAATTAGTGGATGAAATTCTGTACACTCTGTTTGTACTTACAAAACGATAGATACATATATGTATATGCATAATGGTAATTAAATTTATTAATTAATTATACAAGAAAGTGCAACAAGAACAACAGACACGTTCACTTAATGTTTAACAACTGAACAAATACATTGAAAATGAGAAAATGAAAAAGACTAAATAAAATATTAACGAAATAAGCGTAAAAAATTATGATAACCAATCGATCTTATTCAAGGTTTATAGTTTTCCCAGTTTGGTGGCCATATCCACTATCATTTCCAGGTTGTTGTTCAGGGTCTTCACCTGGTTGAGGGTGTTCTGGTCCATTTCCATCAGCACCTCCCGTTGTATGTTCTTGATCTTGTGCGGCTTCACCGTGATGACGCCCTTCTTGGTGGGGATGTGCACGTCGGCATGGAGTTCCGAATGGGCCTGCACTGCCAGGGGGCTGCCTGCTGTGGAGAGCACTCGCTCTCCGGGACGGGGCCAGCGCTGGAAGGTCATGGAGATCTCTTTCTTGGCATAGCTGCGCGTCCTAATTCTGTCCACCGACTGGGCCAGCTCTCGTTGCGGTTGGATACGAGGAGTGCGCTTGCGCAGCCGGCCAATCGACAGGCTGCGACTAGGAGGGGCAGTGGGAGCTGAAAAAGGGACACATTAAGGTAACTGGGTATAGAGGACGACTTGAATCTCACCCTGAAACTGATAATCTTCAAAGTGATCCAGAGGATGCGCTAAAAAATCAGTCAACTTCATGTCCAGTATCTTCTTGTCAGTCCTGCTGAGGATTACCTTGATTTTGTGGTCCACCTCTTGCTTGGCGCGTTTCTCCAGCTCATCCACTGTCTCCAAGACGGAATCGATCTTGATTTGGGCCAAGCGAAGCTTTTCCTCAGCATCGGCTTTTAAACGATCGGCTTTACGTCTCACAACCTTCGTACGAGGCATTTTAGGTTCTATCTCTGAAGGGTTCTAGATACTATAGCTTGAAACTACTTATCCTCAGGCTACTTTGTAACATTTATTTATTTACAATAAAATGTGAATACAGGAAATACAAGTATATGTTAACAAAATGGCCTAAGAAAGGAGATAAATGCAAGCGAAATATAAGTTTTAAAAGCACCATATATTTTATGGCTTGTCTATTTTTTTCCAAAACATTAATTTTGAATTTCATTTACACTTATTGCAGACAAACATTTATTTAAGCTTATGTTTACATTACAAGAATTTCAATATATGATTTGAAAATAAAATATATAAGTAGTACAAAAATAGAACTTAAACGACAAATACTTAAAATATAAGAATAGTGAATTATCTAATCGAGTTTATGAATTGGCAACTATTTCAACCCCACCATGTTGGCCTTGTTCACGATCATCTGCAAGTTCTCGTGCAGCGTTTTGATCTGATTCAATGTATCCTCGTCCAGATTCTCTAGAAGATTCGCTTCAACTTCGTCAGCATCTAGTTTCTTTGGCCGCAGACTGAGGACTCCGTTCCGAATGGGTATGTTGACATTGGCGAACTTGTCGGGCATTCTAGAGAGGAAAGCAATGAGATCTTGATGTTTCTCCAAAAAAACTTGAAAACTTACACTTGTGCCACCATGGGACTACCGCACTTGGAAAGAGCGATCTCACCCGGCTTGGGATAACGCAAAAAGGCCATCGGCGGAGTGGTGGGCGATCCGCTGCGCATTTGCTTCTGGACCAAGGGTGTGCGATCGGCACTGAAGGCCTTGGCCCGCGATGCCATCGGAGTTCGCATCTTGCTCCGCGACAAGCGGTTGCTTGAGGCTCCGCTGCAGCTGGGGATTGGTGGCGGTTTCGCTGAGCGGAGGACATTAAGTTCCCCGCAAGCGGACCGACTCCTTCGTGCCCGACGCGCCCTAGCCGAGTGCAGCGGTCCCGGTGTACGCATGGCCTTGGCAGATCGCATCATGGAGCCAATGGGCCCGGATAGCATGCTGCTGCCGCTGGCTCCCAGGCTGCTGTCCTCTGTAAGGTAGCCTAGATGATACATTTGGGGCGACAGGGGATGGATGGGTGCAGGGTGCAATGAGTGTGTGCAATGTGGGGGTTAGAAAGCAAAGATAAGTTAGTCAAAGAGCCAAGAACCAGTGAAAATATAAAGCCCTTTATGCCAATATTATGAAATAATTATCATAAACCTCCTCCTCTTTAAATAATAAGAATGTGCATGCCTACCTTCGTCATTGCGATTGCCTGTACCCGTCCCGCCTGTTGTGTTGCTGACTGTGGACGAGGATGCGATCAGTTGAGTTTGGTCGCTGGCCTTGTAGTCGCTAAAGTGGTCCAGTTCTTCGAAGAGCAGCAGAGCCTCGGGCATTTTCATGTCGCGCAGCTCTTGTTGCAACTGTCCCTGTAGTTTCTTGATGTGCTCATCCACCAAGGTCAAGTATTTGGACTCCAGCGAATCGATCTCCATTAGCCTGGACTCCAGCTTCAGTTCGTAGAGACGAAGCTTCTCCTCGCGGTTGGCCACTTCGCGATTGCGCTTCGAATTCTTTGGTACCTTGGTGCGTGGCATCTTCTTTAGTTTATCTGCTTTTTTAAATTGTTTTTAAAGCTGCGGAATTATTGCGGGACACACGTTTATGTTGCTGTTATTCTTTTTTTGAGTTTTTCCGCTAAAATTTGAGCGTCATCTGCTAGTGTGGCCAGATGTTTGAACAGTGTTGGAAAGAAAAGCAGAGCCGATAACTTCAAGTTATCGATAGTTTGGTAATTAGAAATAGTTGGCAACACTTTGGAAACAAAATCTTTAATTTTAATGTTAATTAAAGTTAGGTTTTACCATTATTTAAAAAATATATTTTAGTCTTACATTTAAATTTCTTATGTATATTAGGTATATTATTATTTTTTTCTTAAAAGAAATAAGAAGGGATGAAAAGAAAAGACCTATTTTGATCTAATAGACCGTTAAAATTTAAATTTTGGATAATACTACTTATTCTGAGACTAATTAAGCGTTTATTTTTACACTTTTTAAGAAAAGCAAAGTTGTAATGAATAAATAAATTATTTTTAAGCTATAAAAATTAAAAAATATACCTATTCTTTGCTTAACAAAACTGCATGATATAATGGTATTTGGTTCCAGGTTTATTTTTGTTCCCCCAACTTGTCACAAAAGATATTCGATATCCTTTGCGGAGCTTCAATTCTAGATAGGCGAACTGGCCATCAGAAAATTACAGCCGCAATCCTATTAGACCCACTAAAGCACCCACCCCGCTCTTCCTATTTCACAATTTGGGTGCAGGACCTGCTCCACACACATAAATTGCATTTTGCGGCGCTTCGCCTGTCTGCTATCTGCTCCTGTTAGTTGCACTTTGGATCGCACACTCTCGCAGGATTCTAATAAGCCATGGGTGTGTGGGTGGGGGTGTGGGTGGGTGTGTGTGTGAATGGCACACAAATCAAAAGCATTTTTGTCGTGCATTTGGGAGGCTTCTTGCGCTCTGACGCCTCCATTTCTGTTCAGGACATGGTCATATCCTGCGTAAAGCATTTAAAAATGTTGGCTATTGTCTAGCCATTAAAAATTCTATTATTTCCATTCTTAAATATATAAAAATCAGGTTCTTAAAACAATTATGAATAGCACTTATGTTTTAAACCAAAAACTTTTGAATCAAAGGTATAAAAGTGCATCATAAGTTCACTTAGGAAATAATTGCTATTAATTAAGAATCCCAAACTTCTTAAGAACTTTACGTGTTGCAGCAGAATCTTAGCATTTTGCTAATTAAGTGAGCTAAACTAAAAGTTTTAATTTGCCGGTGGTTCGTGCCTGGCAATGGCAGCTGGAAATGGATGAATAATAAAGACTAAGGATACTAAGGATACTGTCAAACGGCAGCAGCGCCCCCTCAATCAATGGCGGCAATACCATGCTCGCAAAGGATATATACTGCCGCCATCCGGCTATCCATTCACTCAACTATCCACCCATTCAGCCACCCATCCATGCATCCATTCATCCAGCCATCCATCCATCCGGGAACAGGAGCAGGAGCAGATATTTCAGCGGCAACAACACCGAAACTCAATTTGCGCCAGGCAAACGATGCGTTAAGCACATAAAATGCAAAACGGAAGCGACGTTCACGGATAGATTACACAACTACTTACAAATGTGCGTCCCCTGACCCTTGGCTCCCAGCTGGGCCGTAGTCCTGGTCCATTCCCACTCCCTCTCCGCGATTCCCATGACTTTTCCTGCGTGTCTGCAACTGTTGCATATTGCAGTGCGTGTGCTGCAGTTGCAGTTTGCCTTTATTGCCCCGGCTGGTGATGTTAATGCGAGCAGGTGTGCTCTCGGCGGAAAAGTCATCGCCGGAGTCCGAGTGCCAGACATTGTCATGGGATTTTGGCCGGAATTCTGGGCAGGATGGGGCCACCAGTGACTCCCCAAAAAGCCGCGTCACTCGAACAAATGTGTGTCTGCCAACGGAGAGTGACATCTTTTGGGAGCGTTTTCAGGCAAATGTTGGCGAGACCCATTTTGTAAAGTGCATCATCCAGGAAAAGTGTTTTTTCAACCCGGATGCCTTGCTTAGATCCACTCGAGCTAATTGATTTGTCCTTTGGGAGTCTTAGATTGTACCTTTTCTGTGTTTTCTGCATATCTGATGGGTGAGTTTTTGAAGGAATTCAGGGAAACTTAAAATAATAGGGATTTTTGGGCAGAAAATATGACTTTAAGAGGTTCTTTTTTAATAAATTTTTAGTAAAAATATCCAAAACTATTACTAATTAAGCCTATAGTTTATTTTATTTAAGAAAACTCCCTCATTTAACATAAAACCTACATTTTCATCTACTTAATAAAGGCCTTTGCTTTATTGAATTTTTATTCTACCTATCAAAATAAAACATAATTGCTCTCAATTATGGAAATTAATTTACCTTTCTGATAAAAAGAGATATAATGATTGTGGAGAGTAAAAATTGTGAGCCAGGACATGCAACCCGATGGCCAGAAAGGTATTTCTCGGCCCTGTAGGCAGTTGCAACTACCCTGTAGACGTCTACGGAAGAAATCATTAGAACTTTATGGCTTTTCGATATAATTTCCAACCCTCTGGAGCCACCCACCCGCCTAATGAGCTCCATGCGGCCGGGCGGTTCAATTGAATTCATTTGTGCCCGGCAAGTTGTTGGGCAAACCCAATTAAAATTTCGACTGGCCGGTTTCGGTAGCGATAAAGAAAGAATAGAAAGGAGGAAGCCCGACCCAAACCACCCACCTGGATAGTACAGGTGTTGTCTGGTTTCCACTCGTTTCTTGGAGCTCCAGCTCCAGTAAGTGCAGCTTGCACTCGCTCAAAAGTCACTCAATGTTCCGATTCCAATCGTTCCTGCAGGACTCATGCGACGCCTTGGCATATGCAGCACATTTCAGTCGCTTGTGGGAGGCAGTTGCATTCGATTGCCAGCATTTTAGTAGCGGAGCACCATCATCACTGTCTGGGACGCCGAGGCAAACAGACACCGAGACAGAAGAAAGCAGAGAGAGAGAGAGGAAAGCGGCGGGCGAGGAGAAAGGAGAAAGGAGCAAGGAGAGCAGAGCATTTCGCTGGTGCGTTCCCACTCATTCGACACACTAATTTTCCTTTAGTTTTCCCTCGGATACGTTCTGTTATTGTTGGCCTTTGTTTATTAGTGCGTGTCTTCGCGTTTCTTGTTGCCGCTGCGAGCGGTTTTTCGTAATTGAAACGAGAGCGACATAATTAAATTAAAATATACTCGCAAGTCCCCCCCACCCCCTCTACCAACCCAACACACACACTCTTACACACTAGCATCGATAGACGAGCCAACTAATCACATTACCAGCCATCAGTCCATCAGTCGAGGCCCGAATCGCAGACCCGCAAGTCAAGAGCCACAGTTCGCATTGCATACATTTTGGCGCGCTTCGATATAAACACACCAACACTTACACCAACACCACACACCAACAACTGTGTGTAAGCGGCTTGAAGGCATCACTTCCTGTGAGGCGACAAAATTTATAAACTCTTGTGTCTGGTGAGTTGATAAAAAAAAAGACAAAATGAGAAAAGTGGCATCCTGTGAAGTGAAAATAATCTACTGATTAAGAATTAATAATAAAACCGGCTATCATATGATGAAATCAAGTGATTTGATATAATAATTAGCTAGTTTTTAGCCCAAGTTCATAGCTTATTTATTTAAAGCTTCATATTTATTCTATCTATTATAAATAGTATAAATATTTAGCTTTATTTATTTATGTATTTAAAATTCATGCTAATTAAGTCATGGCTGTGGTTTATTTATATTTAATAAACAAAAATATCAATGACATATTTTGGTTTTCTCTTTCGGTTCACTAAGAAAACACAAACAAGTATATTTATTTTAATTTAAATGTTGGGTTTATTCCTTTTAATTTATGACAACCATATCACCAACATTTCAATAAGAACTTTTAAGTAGTGTGGCTCTACCGGGCTCCATCTCATTGATGGCTGGCATAATTCCCTTGGCCATGTAATACCGAATTTAATGGCGATTTAAATTTTCATTTAATGCTTTTCGTATAAACCCACAAAGTGATAAAATGCAGAAATGGAGACAGGATATAGGCGAGAGGACGAATGAAGTATTTACTCGGGTTGTTCCTTTGTCTTGCTTAATTTTGCTGGAACAAGTGAACCGAAATTGTCATTCACCCGGGGATCGATGAACCCATACATAATCCTGACACCACCCACTCTCCATCCACCCAATTATCCTTGAACAGTCCGAACACATCTGCGGTTAATGTGCGACAATTGCTTCCCCATCCTCTTAGCCATTGCAATTTACTGCGTTGTAATTATTTTACTCGCATGCATTAATTTTTTTACGCACAACTGCAATTATGAGCACGGCTGGCATTCGTGCATTTATTTATTATTTTTTATCAATTGAAAAACAATTTCGTTCCTTCCTCCTGAAATGTCGCAGCTTAAATTGCGCGAACAAATCGGTATTTGCACGCGAAATTGAATGATTGAATTGCATGTGCATTAAATACGTGTCGTTGTACCACTTTGGTCGGATACCCTTCTGGGCTGGCTCCTCGCAATCGGCTACTCCATCGCCATCACATTCGTTCACAATTCGCATTTGTCGCGCTTCAATTATAGTGGAAAATATTTGCATTCCGACGCATTGAACACGAAGGGGCCGGTACCGGGTTCCAGGTTCCGGGGAGGCAGGCACCGGAATGTTTGCCTACGTGCCATTCGAAGGATATTCGACGAGGTCCTTTCGGTAGGGGACTTAGGGCGATGCTTTTGCATTTCGCATTTTCGTCCATTGTCCACGTTTTAAGCACGCCCCCGGAATTATGTATGCTTCATTAAATATTTAATTAAATGCGCAAATATAAAAACTACAAAAACGTATTTATTTCTGTTTCCATTTTTTTCGGCTTTCTACAATAAATAATAATTAATGCCATTTTAGATGCAAATGGTAGACCTCTAGGGGAAATTAATCTCCAAATCATAAAAAACAATAAAGGAAGGGGCCACAGAGATGGCTATATCTTTCCCAATTCTCATCCGATCCTCAAGCGGAATACCTTAAACGATTTCTGGATCGATTCGCCATCATTCTGCATCAAAATCCTGAGACAAAATATTTTTAAGATTTTTTGTCCATTTTTCGAGATGGGACCCCTTGAAAATGCGGTTTTCTCCTATAGGGGCCACAGTGATGGCTATATCTTTCCCAATTCTCATCCGATTCTCAAGCGGAGTACCTTAAACAATTTCTAGATCGATTCTTCACTATTCTACATCAAAATCCTGAGACAAAATATTTTTTAGATTTTTTGTCCATTTTTCGTAATGGGACCCCTTGAAAATGGGGTTTTCCCCTATAGGGGCCACAGTGATGGCTATATCTTTCCCAATTCTGATCCGATTCGCAAGCGGAGTACCTTTAACGATTTCTAAATCGATTCTCCACCATTCTACATCAAAATCCTGATACAAAATATTTTTAAGATTTTTTGTCCATTTTTCGAGATGGGACCCCTTGAAAATGCGGTTTTCTCCTATAGGGGCCACAGTGATGGCTATATCTTTCCCAATTCTCATCCGATTCTCAAGCGGAATACCTTAAACGATTTCTGGATCGATTCTGTACCATTCTGCATCAAAATCCTGAGACAAAATATTTTTTAGATTTTTTGTCCATTTTTCGTAATGGGACCCCTTGAAAATGGGGTTTTCCCCTATAGGGGCCACAGTGATGGCTATATCTTTCCCAATTCTGATCCGATTCGCAAGCGGAGTACCTTTAACGATTTCTGGATCGATTCTCCATCGATCTGCATCAAAATCCTGAGACAAAATATTTTTTAGATTTTTTGTCCATTTTTCGTGATGGGACCCCTTGAAAATGGGTTTTTCCCCTATAGGGGCCACAGTGATGGCTATATCTTTCCCAATTCTCATCCGATTCTCTAGCGGAGTACCTTTAACGATTTCTAAATCGATTCTCCACCATTCTACATCAAAATCCTGATACAAAATATTTTTAAGATTTTTTGTCCATTTTTCGAGATGGGACCCCTTGAAAATGCGGTTTTCTCCTATAGGGGCCACAGTGATGGCTATATCTTTCCCAATTCTCATCCGATTCTCAAGCGGAGTACCTTAAACGATTTCTGGATCGATTCTCCATCATTCTGCATCAAAATCCTGCGACCAAATATTTTTTAGAATTTTTGTCCATTTTGCGTGATAGGATCCTTTGAAAATGGCTCCCCGGGATTTAATATTAAAGCATAATTATTTTCCCCAACTAAGCCTTAAATTTCATATATTTTCAATGTGTGGGAGTAAATCCCATCCTATTTCAATATTTTATCTTTTATATCCTTTCGCTGGCATCCTTTGGCATTCATCCAGGCCAAGAAGTGGAATATTCACTTTACAGAATCTCCCGACAAAACGTATACATAATTTAATAGAATATTATTTTGTGCTGAGAAGGCAGGCGGCAGATGGCCAATGGCCGACTAACAATAATGCATAGATAATGCGGCAGGCTATCCTTTCCCCCTCTCCCTCTATACCTCCCTAGCTCCTGCCATGGCCCGGAGTGCTGAAGATGAAAAAAAAATGCAATGGCTGAGGTTCCGCCAGCATCAACAAATTATAATTGTAAAGGCTGCTGTAGTCTGGACTTGGTGGCTTCAGTTGGGGCAAGTTGGATGGCAAGGGGTCTGCGGGGGTCAGTTTTAGCGTGCGTTTGCAAAAGTCATAAAGAGCTCTCCACCTATTCCCCACCACGTCCCAGGGAATCGCCGACAAGTGGCGGACAAGTTGACGTTTTTGGTGCGCGAGTCCTGTTCTTGCCACTAGTTTTTCCCTTTTTTTCCCTTCAGTTCGCCGGAGAAAGTATGTTAATAAAAATTTTAATTTATCGCCAGGCATAAAAAGTGGTAAAGTGCTGGACTGGCAGCCCTACGTTTTCCCCCATTTTAGTTGCAAGGATATTTTCATATTTACTTTTTCTTTTAACTTTTTTTTTTTTATATATTCCCTATGTGCTTTAACACGCACAAAACGCGTTCGTTGCCATCGCCGTTATTGAAGTTCTCAATAGGGCTTACACTTGAAAAAAAATATTAAAATTTTTAAAATATGAAAAGAGTTCTTTTTTTTACCTAAGAATTTTTAAAGAAACTTAAAGAATGTGTATTCTGCTATATAAAGCCTTGAGAAAAGACTGGGAAATGTTCACCCGAAACACTTAATAAAATATTAAAACTTAGCACATTTTTTTAAGTGATACTCTTCTCCTTGGCCCCCCTGCATCTCCAGTTTTGTTGACGGTGTCAGTGACGCCCTCGTCCACTTTGAAATAACCTACCCAGTGAGCGAGCGCCTCATCGATAATAGTTTCAAGAGTTTTTCGGCCAAGCAAAATAGAAATGCACGCCAAGTGCCGGCTGCAGAGCCCCACCAGCCACCAACCACCCACCTCCCGGCTCACAATATCCACTGAATAACGCCCCTCGGCGAACTCAACGCAACGCGAGGCACATAGACGAGAGGCGTCCACTTCAAAGTTCGATTTTCTGTATTGAAAATTGGCGTGCATTAGTTTCAGACTTTTCCGAGAGGCCCCTAAGAGGAGGAAACCAGGAGGGAGACTGTCGAGGAAGCCAGTGCGGTTGTTGCAACTTTAAGTGCGGCACTAATTAGTGGTGTTTTCAGTTGTGCTTGGGATGGGTTTAAAATAAGACAAGAATATTAATTACCCCATGAGAACGATTTTAAGATTTAAAATAATAATGACTCACATTTTCTAAAGTTACTACCACTTCTAGTCTCTTAAAAACCAAAAACCCATAAAAAAAGCTCTATTCTGTGGATGGGGCATATTTTTTCCCAGGCAGGACAAGCCTATAAAACTTGTCGCAGATATGGCCTTAATTTGTGGCAATGGGAAATTTTGAAGCATAGCTCGTAAATAAAGCCGTGTTGTTCAGTTGGTGTGTCGCATTATAAATAACACACACGACCCGAGACTGAAATCCAACTAGTGTGGCCACCCTCCAACCACCACCCACCACTAGTACTATGTACCTTCACCCACTGACCCACCGCACAGGCCACAAATGCGCCTGTAAGCGGAAGTGCAGGCACCAAATTTGCTCCCTCCATCCGCCTTCCGGTTTCCCTGTGCTCGCTGTCTCTTTCGCGCTTTGTCCCACTGTCTCTTTCTAGCTGGAGTGCAGCGTAGCAGAAGCATGATAAATTTAATTTTTACAACCCCAGACGACTCCTATTGCGACATTTCGTGGCATGCTTTCTTTTCTTCCTTCTAACCAACTATTAGAAAATGTAATAATAAAATATTTAATGACCGCCTCTATGGGTAAAGCAAATAATCATGTGCGGGTTCTCGATAAATGTTGAATGGCCATCGCCGAAGGGCAAAGGGTTTTATGTTTTTCTTTTTAGAGGGTGAACTGGCAGCAGTATTTATTTGAAGGT